AGCTCCCTGCTCCCAGGAACTCAGAATTAAAAAGAATTTAAAACACTCAAATGTGCACACGAGGATGTAAGCAGAAGCGTAAGGTTTCATAAGCTACATGCTGCCCCTGGGATGGGTAACAGATCACCCTTTCTCTGCTCCTTTGGCTAAGGCCCGGTATGACCCGGCCTTACCCCACTCCTGGCAGTGTGCAGGGTACGTCACCTGCTTCTCTTCATTCCTGAGGAGGGTAAGTGGTTGGGAGGGTGGAAGGAGCTACAAGCAGAACAAGACAGCAAGCACACTGGCCAACTCCTTCCCAGCCTTGCCTTCTTTGGAAACATTTCTTGGGCACCACTGGCCGAGTGAGGCTCTTTTCTTGCTGTATGCACCACTAGTATCTTGTGCCAAGAAATGTCAAATCTAATGGGTCTCCTTCAACTTCCTGCCACCAACTGCTTACCCAGCCACCCAACCACCTATGCAACAAACCACCCAACCATCAACCCAACAACCCACCCAACCAAGCAACCAGGCACCCACGCACCTAACCAACCAGCCACCCGTCCACCCAACCATCTATTCACCTACTCATCTATCCATTCATCCAACCACTCAACCACCCATCCAACCAACCAAGCAGCCAGCCACCCATCCACCCAACCATCCATCCAACCAACCACCCAACTACCCACTCACCCAACCAGCTACCCACCCAACCAAACAACCAGCCACCCACCCACCCAACCATCCACTCAACCAACTACCCACCCAGCCAACCATCTACCTACCCAACCCATTGACCATGAGCTCCTTCAGGGAAGAGACTCCATTTCATATTTATTTTTGCCTCTAGCCCAGTATCAGGTACACAGCTCAATCAGTATTTTATAAACTAATGGAGGAAAACATTCCACCATTATCCTTTCACACCTTTGTAGGTAAACTCTGATTTCCTGAGTCCCTGGTAATCTGTGAAATGTCCATATGAGAGAATAACCAAGGAGCTATGAAGCACTTTATCTCTTTACAGTAGCAAAATTCAATGGTCACGTGCTTTCCTACGTCTTACACGTGTTCTTGCTGTATCAGGCAGCCCCCACTGTCTGGGACACCACGCTTCATCTCTTTGCATGTTCACTTCCACTCATCCTCCTCCAACCAACCCACATCCACTGCAGACCTGGGTGGGTGTCTTAACCCTTAGCACCGATGTGCCCTCTGTGGTATCTCACCTAAGTCTTTGTGAATCAGGTCACACTTACTATAGTTAGATACGTGTGTCTGGTATTCGCCGACTCTATCCTGTACAAGCAGCTTGGGGTCAGTAGCTGGGTCGTACCCGAAATCCCCAGTGACAGGCCTGATCCATTTTGCTGGTGGCTTAGTTAATGCTGTGTCAGGAACCAAGCATCAGCTCAAAGTGCTACAGCAGACTGAGGTGGGCAGAATCATGACCTCCCAAAGCTGTCCACGTCCTCAGCCCCCAGGTGACTGTAAGTATGTCACCTTCCATGCCAGAGGGGACGTGCAGATATGATTAAGTGAAGGGTCGAGAAATGGGACCATTAGTCTAGATGATCTGGCTGGGCCCAATATAATCACAAGGGTCCTTGGAATTGCAGGCAAGAGGGTCCGAGCAAGTGAAAGAGATGAGATTACGGGAGCAGAGGCCAGAGAGAGAGAGAGAGAGAGAGAGAGAGAGAGAGTGGTCTGAAGACATTGCATTGTCAATTTTAAAAATGGAAGAAAAGGGCTCTGAGCCAAGGAATGGAGGTGGCCTCCAGACGCTTGAACAGGCAAGGATAGAGACTCTCCCCGAGAGCCTCCAGAAGGACGCAGCCCTGCCGTCACCTTGATTTTGGACAAGTGAGGCCCGTTTCAAACTTCTGACCTCTAGAACTACAAGTTAATACTCCCGTGTTGCTTTAGGCCAGGACGTTTATGTTCACTTGTTACGGTGGCTGCAGGAAATGGTTACATGGAGGGTGGATGGGGTCTTGTTTCAATCAGCTACATGGTATGGAGCTGCATGTACATTTGGGGGACAATGCCCTCAACTCTAATGTCTTGACACAGAATGTGTGCTCTTAAGTTCTGTGGGGACCACTCCAGAAATGGCCACATCGGCCATCTGACGTCTCAGTGCCCGTGACCCAGCAAAGTCCTACATGTTTCAAGTTGCAGAAGAATAACCCCATGCCTCCGAGATCCAGGAAAAGGTAACCACGGGGTGAGCTGGGGGTGGGGCGGGGGCAGAGCTGAGCCCCATGGGCATTTCCCACCTGGACAGACGTCTCACCTTTATAGATTCCATTACTGCCTCCGTGAACTTCCCCTCTGATGCTCATCTCCTCTACGTGTGCTCCTTGGTCCGAGGAGAAGTAGACGAGGGTGTTATTAGCCAGTTTCAGCTCATCCAGAACATCCAAGATCTGCCCTGAAGGGGAGAAAGTATTCAATTTGAAAACAGTGCAATCTTTACGAAAGAAAGGGAGGTTGTTTGCCCTCATTGACTTGTCCATTAATTTCTTCTGGTGAGGAGGGGACAGTCTTGCACGCTGAGCTCTCCCATGCTGCTCCTGACGGGGGGGGCAGACTAAGGAGGAGGACCAAGAGTGCCAGGCCTCTTGCATCAAGAAGACGCAGTCATTGAATAAAGTTATCATCGTTAAGTATTATCTGAACCTCTAGGCATGCTGGGGTGATTCTGTAGAGAGATCGGATAAAGGGTTCTAATAGAATCAGGCTTGCTGATAATGACTCCTTCGAAGATGCCGGATTGTGGCTGCTGTCCGTGGTCCTGAAGTTATAAAGCTGTCTACTGGTTTTCCTTACTGACCGGGAGAAAACCCGAACCAGCAGTGTTCTTCTCCCATGAACAAATACCTCTATAAACATTTTATGATGAATGAACGATCTGTTTTAATATTTACCATAGACACCCAAATCTAAAACTGCCCATCACGAGTATTGATACTCCTCATGCTTTCCTCTTCCTTGTCCTCCCCTTCTCCACCCCCCTTGTCCTCCCCCTGCACCCACCCCGTACACCCACATTGTGTACGAACCCCCACTTCACAACCCTTCAAAGTGACGATTCCAGCCACAACAATGAGAACAACGCCTCTCATCCGTCAAACACTCTCTACGTGCGAAGGACTTTCTTCCACGTTCTCCTGTTTAGGCGACACTGACCCTCACAAGGAAGGAGTATCGGCTCCATCATACAGGTGACAGCCACAGTGCTCCCAGACAGTACACGACCCGCTCACAGCGACACAGTTAGGAACTGGGAGACCCAGGAAAAAAAGAATAAAATCTGATTCCAAATCCCACAGTCTCAAACCTCATGTAGTTAAGTGGATGAAGTCATTGAGAATCACACAGGAATGAAAATGACATTCAGGAGAGAAATCAGAGTTACCTCCTGGAAGACCCACGGATAGCCACTGTCTTCTTCAAATTAACCCAGGAAGAAGGGACGTGCGCTAAGCAAGATCAGGCAGGACTTCGTTCACTGTTAAATGTGGATAAGGGGCACAAGGGAGTTCACTGCACTTTTCTATTTCTATTCATGCCTGAAATTTTCCATAAGGAAAAAAACCACCACCAACCACAGAAGCCAGGTGAAGATGGAGGCATGGGCCGAAACGCATCTTTGATTATGACGCTACCATCACCCACTCTCAAATCAGAAGACAATGATGGTCAAACCAGAAGAAAAAATGTATAATTTACAGACAGATCTATGTACTCACACGCTGTTCCTTTAACTCAGTCAGTTCATGTGCCCAGTCAGTTATAGTGTGAGGTATTAAAGGGTCTGACTTTGTTCTTTTTTTTTTTTAAATTGAATTATAGTTGATTTACAATGCAGTGTTAATTTCTGGTGTACAGCACAGCGATTCAGTATCCATATGTATACATTTCTTCCATATCTTTTTCATTATACGTTATTACAAGGTATTCAATATAGTTCCCTGTCCTGTACAGTATAATCTTGTTGTTCATCTATTTTATGTATAGTAGTTTGTATCTGCAAATTCAAACTCCTAATTTATCCCTCCCCCATCATTTCCCATTTGGTAACCATATGTTTGTTTTCTATGTCTGTGAGTTTGTTCCTGTTGTGTAAATAAGTTCATTTACATCATATTTTACATTCCACATATAAGTAATATCATATGATACCTGTCTTTGACTTACTTCACTTAGTATGATAATCTCTAAGTCCTTCCATGTTGCAGCAGATGGCATTATTTCATTCTTTTTAATGGCTGAGTAGTATTCCACTGTTTATATATTCACCACATCTTCTTTATCCCACTCATCTGTTGATGGACACTTAGGTTGTTTCCCTGACTTTGCCTTTTGATGTTCGACTACTAAGAGCTTTTAATCCTCACCTCTGCCTTTTCCACTTGTCCCCAGTAAGCTAATATGAAAGCTTCGGGGTTGGTTCCCTCCATCAGTGTCTGTGGGAGGTGCTAACTATGCCAGTTCCTGCCTCCATGCAGGAACCCATATCCAAGATCCAACTCCCACCCACCATGAAAGCTGACTCTCTCCTTTCCATCTCTCTCAAGCTATGTTTGGACCATTTTAGGAGTTGCCCTGCTCCTCCCAGAAAGCCTCACTCTGTGAGTTACAACCCTTTCCATGGCCTCTTGGCGTGGCTGTGGCTTAACTAGTTTAGATGTGGGACCCACACTGTGGGTGGGGTCCATCTCGTCACTGTAGGATAACCACAAGAACTGGACTTCTACAAGGACACCAGGTACCCTCTGCAGCAGAAACAGTAACTGCACATGGGGACACCTGGCAGGTAGGTCATACGCCAGTGAAGGCAGGCCCTCCACCCCGGGTTGCACCCTCACCGACATGGTCCAGAAAAGGCATAGAAGTTTGCAGGGTCAACCCTCCACGGAGGTGGCAGAGATGATCTCCGATGCAGAAGCAAGACCCAAGTCAAGTCATTTGTTCCCAGACATATTTTTTGCTATTTGACTGCAAATGCCACAGGCCAGAGTACGTTCAGTCTTTCTCAGTTTTTTTTTTTAACTCATATGACAAACTCCTAGAAGCCATGCCATATACATAAATGTCATACTCAGGACCGAGGAATGAGACACACAGGGCCACTTCAGCACGTTGTCTCCCACGATAAATCATCATCGGGCAGACATTTATTGCCGTGTTATTCGGCTCAGCTAAGCAGACCACCTGTGCACTCGGGCTTGGGGTAATCTGACTCTGACACTATTTCAGGTTTATCACTTTGAAAATGGTAATTAGTTTAATGAGTTGACAAAGGGAGAGCCAATAACCACTAACACCCCTACTTACACTTTGAAGGGAAAATGCCCCTTTTGGTGCGTGTAACAATTTCTAAGTAGAATAACACGGATTAGGCAGACAGCAGAGGATTGAGGACCTTACTTCCTTGTAACGGGTCTTTTGCAAATGGGCATACAACCATGCACCTCTCTTGCAAATGAAATTCACCTTTCATATATACAGAAGTGTTTCAGTACACAGAAGTGCTGACGAAATGTCTTTTTTTTTTTTTTAAATAGAGGTATAGTCAGTCACAATGGGTCAATTTCTGGTGTACAGCACAATGTCCCAGTCATGCCTTTTTTAAAACATGTGGCTTCCCTGATAACTTCTGTGGACATAAAGGTCTGTACACAAATATTTACGGCAGGTTTATTTATAATTGGCAAAACCTTGGCAGTAACCGGGGTGTCCTTCAGTAGGTGAGTGGATAAACTAACTGTGGTCCATCCAGAGAATGCAATATTATTCAGTGATACAGAGAAATGAGGCATCAAGCCGTGAAAGGATATGAGGGACCTTTAAATGCATATCATTAAGTAAAATGAGTCACCCTGAAAAGGCTACACACTGCATGATTCAACTCTGTGACACTCTGGAAAAGGCAAAACCATGCAGACTGTAAACAAACAAACAAACAAACAAACAAACAAAAAATGGTGGTTGCCAGGGGTAGGATTTTTAGGGCAGTGAAAATATTGTGTATGATACTCTAATCATGATACATTTGCCCAAATGCATAGAAGGCACAATTCAGATAGTGAACTCTGATGTAAACTACGCATTTTAACTGATAATAATGTATCAGTGTTGGTTATTTAATTGCAACAAATGTCCAGCACTAACACAAAGGGAATGTAGGCAAACTCTCTGTACTTTCTACTCTGTTTTCCTGTAAACTTAAAAGTGCTAAAAAAAATTGTCTACTAATTTTTTTAAAAAATGCCTTTCCAAGTCACTGTTGGCTTGTACACTTCCTCATCCACGCAGTCAACACGTGTTTGTGAGAAGCCTCCCGCTCGCGGGCTACAGACTGGGGCACGTGGGGTGTCAGGGACAGTGTCTGCTCCCAAAGCCACCTGGGCACCCTTGTCTTTTCCCAAGCCAGCTCCATCTCCTGGTTGCAGTTTCCCCTCCAGGCTGTTCTCATCTCCAGAGGAACCTTCACCTGCATTCACTACCCACGTTCCTTCTACTAAAATGCATAAGGCATCCTTCCCCATCGTAACACTACCTCCCTAGGGATTCCTCCAAATTCCTAGATTTCAAATGACCACAATAGCTTCTTTGTCCCCATCCATTTTTCTGATTGACTGCCAAGAGTGGCAACTTGTATCATTTTCATCAGAAGCACCTTATACCACCGGGCTGAGCTTCATAGAAGAGAATTTAGATGAGGCCACTACGCAGGTACACGTGGTGGAAAAGTTGGCTCCATCTGTGAATAAAGTGTCAGATTTCTGATTTTTTATTCATTCTTTCTCTCTCAAGGGATACAGTCTGGACTCCCATACCGTTTGGATCTCATGCCAGAGTCTCACTCGGAAAGCTCATGAACCATCCCGTTTTTCATGAGACTGATCCCATAAAAGCCTAACACATTTCTCTCCTAAAAATTCTGCCCAGAAATCTCCTGTGGCAACAAATACTGCTGTATTTATTCTTGCTTTCAGATCAACACATGGCACGTCAGGGGTCCGCCAATATTATCTTTCAGTAAGGTTCTCAAGGTATAATGATACCAATTTATACAGGATGATAGTTTTGAATTACCAGGGCCGGGCTGCAGGATAGCTGATAAATGAAATGTTTTATTTCCAGAGCTTTCTCATATGGTTCCTGAGATGAGACAAATGCAGAAAACAAGCCATTTCAAGGGCACTTTGTTATTTAACCGGCGACAACGAGGGCGAGTGTGATGGGAAACAAACGAGGGCTGGCTGACCAGTGTTCCTTCGTCCTCACGGAGAAAACGTGCAGATGTGAAAATCGGGGTCCTACGTCCTTCAGGTCTGAATGCGGGTTGCAGAGGAGGCCTGGGTTCTGGAGAGTTTGTTCACTCCATTGATTCAGGTCCCGAGCAACTACTGAGACAGTATT